CCGGGTGGCAAGGGTCCCCCCTCTGCTGACGTGCCCCCAGGCCGGCTCAGGAGCAAGCTCTCCTCTGTGCTGCCGCCGCCACCTTCCTGCTCGGGCAGCTGCCCGCAGCGCCCGGCCGGGGCGGCAGCGCCGCCTCCGCGCGAGCCTAGCTAGGGCCTGAGCCTAGGCGAAGCGAGCTGTTTTGTTTTATTTCTCTTCTCCTCCTCTCTCTCGTCTCTCGCTGTCTCTCGCTTTCTCTCACTCTCTCTCTTTCTTTCTCTCTTGCATTTTTGTGAATCTAATGATGCACTTATATTGCCCCGCTTTTCCCTTCTCTTCATACCTTACCTACTAAAGGAGGAAATGCCACTTTTTTGGTAAGTGGATGTTAACCAAGAGGGACTTACAAAAAGGAAGTGAAAAAAAAAAAAAAAAAAAAAAGCATATAACAGAAAAAAAGGAAGGAGAAAGCAGAGTCTATGTTGAGTGCTGATGAGAACTTAGCAGTTCCCTGCAGAGTCACAGCTAAAAAATCAATGAGTATCCCAGGAAGAGTTCAGAGACATTCGTTTATCTCAGTAGCGATGACATTTGTGGAGTTTTGGTTTGGTTTTATTTGATTTTTTTTTCTTTATGTTTTCTTCTTTCTTTTGGTTTCTTTCAACCTTCTCTCCCCATCCCCTGTGGCTCCCTGCCTTGCCCTCCATCGTTGCTCTGTGCCGTCTTCCTCATTTCTTGGTTTGTTTTAAGCCAAAATCTGTACTATACGTGAAAACTATGCATATATAAACACATATATACATATCTATCTCTCTCTATATATATGTGCATGCATCTGTGTGCACAGAGCTTCCAGCCCTTTCCCACCCACCCGGTCCCGTTACCTCTGGTCCCATTTGGTTTGGTCCCGCAGTTCAGTCTAATTTATTCTCTCCCCCATCCCTCCCTTCTCCCCCACCACCTTCCTTCCTCTCAACTTTTCTTTTTTTCTCATTTTCCTCAGTTCATTTGGGTTTTACACCCCTTTTCCTTTCACCTTTCTTGTTTGGGCCGGGAGGGGACCAGGGGTTTGCTTTATCTCCGTTCCAGATGTTCGGGGGGTTGTTTCTTTCCCTTTGAGCTCTCCCTCCCCGACGATTTTTGGGTTTCTTGGCTTTTTTTATTTTCTACCCCCCTCCCCCTTTGTTTTTTGCGTTTTGCATGCGGAGATTTGCATGACCCACGTTGTTGAGGGCGAGAGGCTGAGGCGAGAGGAAGGTGCAGAGTAGCGTCTGTGTAGCCTGCCTTATGCGATGTGCGTTGACGTTGTGACTTGAGCCTCCGGCCCGGTGCGCCCCGTTAAAGACTGTTCTCTCCTTCTTTCTTCTCTTCTTTCCTCCCCTCCGCCTCTCCCCCTCTCTCTGTCTGTCTCTCTCCCCTGCCAGAGGC